ACAGGGGTTTTGCCACCAGGGACTCATCACATCCAGGAGTGTGTCCCCAGCACCAGGGTGACAATGGCCAGGTGCCAGCCTGGAGCTCCATTCTCACCCCTGAGGTTGGAAACTCCTAATCCAATTTTTTGATCCTGATTCGATATTTTGATCCTGATTCTTTTGGTGTGAAAACTGCTTTTTACCCTGGGCTGAATGCCTTGGTGCAGGCCCAGGTTGGGCCCAGAGCCCCTGCAAAGAGCTGACCCTTCTAATCCCAAAAATGCCTGGCAAGAAGGTGAGGAAGGGTCCAGACAGCGCAGAGAACCGGGAATAACAAAACAAAACTCACAAAACTCAAAAATAAAACTCAGAGTTTTTATCTGAGTGAAGAAATGGAGATTTTGTCATCCCAACAAGGACTCATGGCAGTTCCCAGCACCAGGGTGACAATGGCCCTGCAGGTGCCAGCTTGGAGCTCCATTCCCACTCCTGAGGGTGGGAATTCATGAGAGGCAGCACTCCTGATTCAATTCTGTGATCCTGATTTGATTTTTTGATCCTGATTCTTTTGGTGTGAAAACTGCTTTTTACCCAGGGCTGAATGCCTCGGTGCTGTACCAGAGTCCCTGCAAAGAGCTGACCCTGCTGCTCCCAAAAATGCCTGGCAGGAAGGTGGGGAAGGGTCCAGATGGCGCAGAGAACCAGGAATAACAAAACAAAACTCAAAACTAAACTTGGAGTTTTTATCTGAGTGAAAAAATGGGTATTTTGCCACCCCGGCAAGGACACATCACAGTCCCCAGCACCAGGGTGACAATGGCCCTGCAGGTGCCAGGCTGGAGCTCCATTCCCACTCCTGAGGGTGAAAATTCATGAGAGGCAGTGTTCCTGATCCAATTTTTTGATCCTGATTCGATTTTTTGATCCTGATTTTTTTCTGTGTGAAAACTGCTTTTTACCCTGGGTTCAATGGCTCAGAGCAGGCCCAGAGCCCCTGCAAAGAGCTGACCCTGCTACTCCCAAAACCTCCTGGCAGGAAGGTGGAAAAGAGTCCAGACGGTGCAGAGAACCAGGAATAACAAAACAAAACTCACAAAACTCAAAAATAAAACTCAGAGTTTTTATCTGAGTGAAAAAATGGGGATTTTGCCACCAGGGACTCATCACAGCCAGGAGTGTGTCCCCAGCACCAGGGTGACAATGTCTCTGCAGGTGCCAGCATGCAGCTCCATTCCCATTCTTGATGGTGGGAATTCATGAGAGGCAGCACTCCTGATTCAATTTTGTGATCCTGATTCGATTTTTTGATCCTGATTTTTTTTGTGTGAAAACTGCTTTCTACTCTGGGTTAAATGTCTCAGTGCAGTCCCAGGGTGGGCTCCCCTGTTTGCCCAGAGCCTCTGCAAAGAGCTGACCATGCTACTCTCAAAATCTCCTGGCAGGAAGGTGGGGAAGGGTCCAGATGGAGGAGAACCAGGAATAACAAAGCAAAATTCACAAAACTCAAAAATAAAACTCAGAGTTTTCATCTGAATGAAAAACAGGAGATTTTGCCACTCTGGCAAGGATCCATCATAGTCCCCAGCACCAGGGTGACAATGGCCCTGCAGGTGCCAGCCTGGAGCTCCATTCCCATTCCAGGGATGCTGTGGGAAGGGCACAGCCTCCAGGAAATATCCTGGGCACAGGAGGCAGCAGATCTTGCAGGCTCAGAGGGCTCAGAGGAACAGCTCAGACCCGGGGATGTCTGCGAGGAAAAGAGGAAGGAGTTTGCTCTGAGCACGATTCTGCAACGGGTGAGATGTGAACTCATCCTGCTGCTGGGAAAGGGGCAGGAAAAGATCAGAATGACTCAGGGGTCAGGGTCATGTGTGATGGGGCCCCAATTCCAGGGTCAGGTCAACCCTGGATCACCCAGAGGTGAAAATGGACGGGGTTTTGAGGGACAGGACCCAGCAGAGGTTGTGCTGTCTCCAAAAATTGCACAGAGATCGCTCCCCTCCACAGCTCTGAACCCTGAGGAGCCTCCCACCCTCAGTTCTCCATCTGAGGGTTTCATGAGGGAACGGAGAGGCCCTTGGGGTCAGAATGAGCAGTTTTTCAGAGAAAGCAGGGCTGGGGAGAGTCAACTTCCACTCCCTGGGTCACTCCAGGAACAGGAGATCTCCCAGCACTTCCTCACCACTCCATTTTTTTCCTCACTGCCACAGTTCTTTCCTCACCGCTGCATTTTTTCCCTCACCTTTGCAGTTTTTCCTCACCGTTGCAGTTCTTTCCTCACTGTTGCAGTTCCTTCCTCACCACTGCAGTTTTTCCTCACCGTTGCAGTTCTTTCCTCACCACTGCAGATTTTTCCTCACCGTTTCAGTTTTTCCTCACCATTGCAGTTTTCCCTCACTTCTGCCATTTTTTACTCACCGCTGCATTTTTACCCTCACCATTGCATTTTTTCCCTCACCTTTGCATTTTTTTCCCTCACCATTGCATTTTTTCCCTCACCTTTGCATTTTTTCCCTCACTGCTGCCATCTTTTCCTCACCGCTGCAGTTTTTTCGTCACCACTGCAGGATTTTTTCTTCCATTTATTTTTTGGTTTTTGCTGTAGTTGGAAATGGGAACATCCCATCCCTTCCAGCAGGAAAACAAAAGCTGGAATTGTTCAGTGACCCCCGTTCTCAGGCCTCTCTCTCTTTGCCCTGCACACCACGACTCTTCCACACTGCAAATTTAACGAGTCCATGCTCATTTTGAGTAGCATTAATAAAAATATTGCAGAGCTGTGGGGTCCCACACACCCCTGGCAGGCTGGAAACCCACTCAGGCCATTTCCAATACCCACGAACTGCCAGAAGAAAAATCGCTGCTCACGCAACAACCGCCTCCCATCGCTGCTTGATTTTTGAATCCCTGTCAAAAAATGATGTCAGGARAAGAACAGCAGCAATTCCCTGCGAGTGTGGGAATGCAGGACTTGGCAGAGTTGGCCAAGGAGGGTTTCCCAGCCAGGTCTGGCCGAGCTGTCACAGAGCAGCCTCGCAGCACCATCTGCTGCCTGGAACACCTCGCTCCTCAGGGTGACAAATCCGACTGGAAAATCTGCTTTTCTTGGGGGCAAACAGAGTTCAGGCTCCTCAGCTGAAGGATGAGTTCAGGTCCTGTGGTCAGCACTGCAGGGGAGTGGGAGCAGCAGAAGCACCAGCTCACAAAGAGGAATTGCTGCAAATATTTRCTCAGATTTGAAGCAAATTAACAGCCTGGTGGCACCTTGCTTTGCAGCGGCCTCCCAGCAAGGGCACAGCACATCTGACTCCATGGGTGGCTGTGCAAGAATTTGTCCAGCAGACAGCAGCTTTAGAAAGGTTCACAGCAGATCCCAGCTCCTATTTCTCCATCTGAAAGGTTCACAGCAGATCCCAACTCCTATTTCTCCATCTGAAAGGTTCACAGCAGATCCCAACTCCTATTTCTCCATCTGAAAGGTTCACAGCAGATCCCAGCTCCTATTTCTCCATCTGAAAGGTTCACAGAACATCCCAATTCCTCTTTACTCCATCTAAAATGTTCACAGCATACCCCAGCTGCTCCTGCTTCATCTAAAACGTTCACAGCAGATCCCAACTCCTATTTCTCAATCTGAAAGGTTCACAGCAGATCCCAGCTCCTCTTTCCCCACATAAAACGTTCACAGCAGATCCCAACTCCTTTTGCCTCATCTGAAATGTCCACAGCAGATCCCAGCTCCTCTTTCCCCCTCTGAAATGTTCACAGCAAATCACAGCTCCCCTTTTCCCCTCTAAAATGCTCACAGCAGATTGCAACACCTTCTATTCCACCCTCTAAAACATTCCCAGCAGATCCCAGCTCCTATTTTCCCTTCTAAATTACTCACAGCACATCCCAGCTCATCTTTCCCCCATCTAAAATGCCCACAAGCAGATTGCAACTGCTTCTATTCCACCCTCTAAAATACTCACAGTAGATCCCAGGTCTCTTCCCCTCCAATATGTTCCCAGCAGATCCCAGGTCCTATTTCCCCAACTAAAATACTCACAGCACATCCCAGCTCCTCTTTCCCCATCTTAAAGGTTCACAGCACATCCCAACTCCTCTTACTCCTTCTAAAATGTTCACAGATCCGAACTCCTCTCCTTCCCTCTAAAACGTTCCCAGCAGATCCCAGCTCCATTTTTCCCCTCTAAAACATTCCCAGCAGATCCCAGCTCCTCCTGCCCCTCTAAAAGATCCAGACCCATCCCAGTGTGCAGGGACACAGTGCTGCACAGGAGCCACACACAGCAAGGACACAGCAGGCTGGGAACAACCTGTAAAGGCAGATTTTGGATCGAAGCTGGCAGGAGTGTGACCTTGTCCTTTTCTTTGCTGGGATTTGCAGGACTGAGTCCAAAGAAATAAATCAGCAACGCAGAGGGAGCAGTTCCCCTCTCTGGGCCCTGCACGGTGCAGCTCAGACATGACAACACCAGGCAGCCCAGCACGTGTGAAGGGTGAGGGTACAGGCTCAGGGAGCTGCCAAAAAAAAAAAGAGGGAACAGGAAAAGAAGCAGCAGGGGAATCCCAGCATTTCTCCTCAGCCTCAAATCTAAGAAAGGCACATCCAAAGCTGGGCTGTGCTGCAGTTTCCTGGCTGATACAGGAGAGGATTTGCTGTCCCCAGTCCTGGCCACTGCCCCCTGACAGCCTCTGCCTCATCACTCTGGCATCTCCAGCAGCTTCTCCCACACCAGGCTGCTGCAGACAGCTCGGAACTGCTGTGGAACAGCCAATATTGTGCCACATTGAGCTGGGAGAGAATTAACAGAACCCAAAGCCAGCCAGCTGAGGCAGCAACTGCTGGCAGGGCCGGGAGCAGGGTCAGGACAGCCCTGCACAGCCCTCCTGTGCCTCTCCACAGGCAGCTGCCACCCCCCGGTGCCGATGTGTACAGAGGAGATTTGTGTGTTTGTTCTCCAAACGTGCCTTGTTAACGCTGGGGGAATATTGACACAACGTTCCCTTCAAAGCAAACGGAAATTGAAGCTTTTTATTAAACCGTTTTTTTATTTTTTCTTTAATCTCAGCTTTTAGAACAAGACACTTAACAACATTAACATTCGTTTTTCTATCACACATCACATGTTCCTGCTTCATCTGAACACTGTCTGCCTGCCCAGAAGTCCTGAGAGCGAAGATTCACAGAGAAGCAGACACTTAAACACACACAACAAACAGGAAAATGCAAGTGGGTTTTACTAATGAGGCAGCCACTTTCTCCACCAGAAACAATCCCACTGTAGCAGACACCACCAGCATCTTTTGTCTTGGTCTAATTTGGGAGCCAGAACTGCACAGAAGCGGGAAGGCAGTTAATGTATGCAAAGTTTGCTCGAGCAGAAAGTGCTTGATCGAGTCGGGGAGTGGAAGAACAGAAGCTCTGCATTGCAAACAAAGGATTCCCCCAGGAGCAGGAGGCATTTTGAAGATGTCCACTTCTGCATGTGGAATGAAAAGCTGAGACTTCTCACAGAGAAATGCAAATCAATTAAGTGAAGCAAGGGATGTTTGGGGAGGAGAAGGAAAATACTTGGCAGGCAAGCGCTTAAAACGGCGAGCAGCTCTGTGGGAGTCGTGTCCCAGGGACCGGACCAAAAACATAATTAGTCTGTGGTGGAGATAAACACCGAGTTTGTGCTCATTTTCCTCATCCCAAACACCTCCTGGGCACTTGCTGCCTCTCATCCTTCCTCCAGCAGCAGCAGAGCACTGTGAGGATGTGACACACCTCGGGGAGGAAGGGGTGGCTGAGGGTGAAATGTGAAATGTTCCTTCCACGAGCAGCAAACAACAGCCCCGGGTTTGTACCACTCCCTCACACCCTGGGCATCCCCAGCTGGTGGCACCTGGGTGGCAGCTCTGTGCCACCAGGGCCTTGTCCCCACAGAGGTGACTCCTGTAGCTGGGAAAAAGGCAGCCACCAGTCCCACCAGTCTGGCAAGGAAACAAGGAGCTTCAGATGTAGATCACATCCGAGTCGTGCTGCTGAACCTGCAGCAAATCAAAGAGGGACAATTAGTTCTGGCTTCCAGTAAATCCCTGTGGTCTGGTTCTTCCTTCAGTTCCAATTCTGGAGCCTTTTGCCCTGAAACAGCTTTTTCTCCCTTCTTTAAACAATTTTTTTGCCTCACCCCTGAGTTTAGTCATCAAAGTTGCTTCTGTTCCTTGCCTCAGAAGGAGCTGATCCCTCATCTGTTGTGCCCTTTAGTTCTCAGCCCACAAACCCTGAAGGAGGCATTGAATCTTGTACACTCTGAGCTTTTAATTGATCCTAACCCCCCCAGTTTGGTGCAGATAAACCCCAACAAACCCATCAGGCTTTCCTCCTTCCCAAAGCCTCGCCCAATTAGCGCTGCCTGCAGAGAGCTGATTTCCTCCCCGCCGTTCGAGGCCATGTTTCCTCCTGGCTCTTCTTGATTCTCCAGCCCAGTGACATTTCAAACAGGTCGGGTTTTTTTTGCCTAAAAGCCAGCTCAGTGCTCTTCAGGCCTGTTTGACAGGGAGCACGTGGCAGAGGAGGGAGCTGTGGGAAGCCTGGGTATTTCTGGGTCTCTCCCTCGCTGCCTTTGAAAAGCAGAAGACAGGCACAGTATCTTTGAATCTCTCCGTACCTGGGAGCGCATTTCTCGTTTTCCAAGGCTGGCTGGTACAAATGGAATTGAACACAGATCCTCCTACTGTGTACAGACATCTCTGCTTCATTTAGCAAGGCTTTCCAGCTTAGATCAGAAGTGAGAAAAAACAGCCTGCCTCGAGTCATAAACATTCCCAAACGATGTGCCAGCACCACAGGCTCCAAAATCCTACAAAAGCCCTGTCATCTGCGAGGTTGTGACAGAGCAGGACGAACCAGGTTCCTCCAGCCAGCCAATCTTTCTGAACTCTAAACTTTTAATCAACATTGAGGAATTTACTTACAAATCTGATTACCTTGATCATCTGTTTTCTGGCTCCTGTGCCCACGCTGTTGGCAACCAAGGGATTTGCTTGGGAAGATGACTTTTCCACTGGCACAGCGTGTTGAGTTTTGTTGGTGCAGGGCCAGCTGCCTGCAGTGTTTACCAAGTAAGCAGGGAAAGGTCTTGGAAGATTTGCATCTCCACTTTTGAAGGTTTTCATCCACGCTGGGGCCTCAAAAAGAAAAGAGCACATGGAAATGTAGTGGCCTCTCTGTATCAACACTCAGCAAGCCAAAAAGAACAGCACATGAGTAATCAGAAAAGAAAGGCCATCTTTGCTCATCCTTTTTTCCTCCCTTCTGTCTCTAAAAACCACTGACTCAGAGCCATTTTTGCTGCAACCTGCAGACAAGGCCAGACCTATTCTTGCACTGCTTCAGGAAGAAGTTTATTTAAATAACTGGCAACTTATGACAAAATTCTGGGTCTAGTTCCTCATTGTCTTAAAAAAAAAATACACCAAGGCTTTTATGACTTTCAGCAACCACAAAGCACATGAATGAGAATGTGATGCAAACTGGAAGAAACCACGTTTAAATTTGTCAGTCATAACCATTTCGTTTACTCCAAGACCTTCAACCTTGACTTTTTTTTTGTGATTTCATAATCATTTTTTGCTCGTGGTCCTGGTGTTCAGCCCAGGCAAAAGGCCTTAAGATTTTGTTTGGACATGAATTTTGCTCCTCTAGAAGGGTTCATGTTTCTGCTATTTTATCATCAAGAGGGCTAAAGGCTTGGACTGAAATAGAGCAGCAACCTGTGGCACACCCACGCTGCTCCATTTGTGGGTTCCTGCTGGAGAAAGTGAAAGATTGAGGTACTTACAGACCCTAAGGAGCGATCCAAGGAGCCCAGGACTTCATTCCAATGAGAGTAAAGCCCAGCCTGCTTTTCCTCCAGTTTCAGAGCGTGGATTTCGGACTTCAGTTCCTTCAGTCGATCTTCGAATTTCCTGCTCTTTTCCAAGTAGTCAAGCCTGGGTGCACACATTGGAGAAAAGCAGCTCAGGGTGGCACAACACAGCTCAAGAAAAGGTGTTTGTGGAGGAGGAGAGTTGGGTTTTGTGKKKTTTTTTGTTTCATTTTATGTTTTAAAGGCAAAATGAACCCTGGCACACATCAGCCCAGCTCCCCTGACCCCGTTCACTTCTTTCTTTTTACTTCCTGACTTTTCACCAAGCATTTCCTTCCAGACTAAGGGATGTCTGATGGATTGGCCTCCAGCAATCCCACACTTTAGCACTAGAGGGAAACTTCTGTCCTCTCACACGCTGGCAGTTCAGCAAAGAGCTTTGTCCCTCCCCAAGACAGAAGGTTCTGGACTTGATGCCACCACAAAAACCCTTCCTCTCTTTGAAGATGTCTCTTACATAAGACATCACCCACACCAGCTTGGAAAAAGGCCTCCAGAAAAAAGGCCTTAATTGCTAAAATCTTAATTAAATCTTAATTGTTAAAAGACAAACTGTGATTCCCAAAGATTTCCTTTCTCATTTATTTGCACCACGAGCAGACTGATACCTCTCTCTCTCTATCTCAAAGGAGAGTCTCTTGAGGTCGATGTCCTTCAAATCCAATTTTATGGATCCTTTGTCGAAGTTGACGTCTCTGCTGTCACCTGGGGAGTACTGGGGGTACTTGGCCATGTGCTGGAAGAGGCAACACAAGCACTGTCAGGGACGTCTGGGATTGATCTGGGGTTTGTCTCCCCAGCTGCTACAAATGTTGAGCCACTTTTGAAGTTTCTGATGATGCCTTAGAATTTAGTTTCTGTATTTTCATGGATCTATATTCTCGTACTTCTCTAGTACAGCATTAAAGCTGCTGTTCTCCCATCTTTAGACAAAACAATTCCTCTCCAAGCATGAATCCAAGGACACTTTGCTGCCTCAGAGCCCCAAAATATGAAAACAACAGAACTTATAAAAGGGGAAGATCTCGTGATTCAGGTCCCATTTTGGCTTTTGTCTGCCCTTAATGGACCAGTCGGCCTGGATTAAATTTGTCTGCTTTTATTCTCTTAACTTTGTTCAGCCCCTGTTTCAGGTGAGCCTTGTTTTAGGCATCACTGAGACACACAGATGCTCCTGCAGCCCTTCCCCTGCACCCAGATCAGCCCACAACCCACAGACCCGAGAGCAGAGATTTCTCCTGACTGCAGCATTTCCATTTCAGCAGAGAATGGAAACCCATCCTCAGCAGGACTGGAGCAGAGGAGGAAGCTGGGCCACAGAACTTTCTTGCTGGGACAACTTCACCTGCTTTGCCTAAAGACACTCACGGGGAATCTGTGAACCAAGTACAACCATTCCCCAAAAAATGGCCTGAAATGGCACCACACATGAGGCAGGAAGGCAGGACAGCCTCTGCTCCCTGGGTCCCATCACCACTTCTGCTTTTAACTTTTGTCTCACCTTTCTTATCATCCTGAACAAACTCAACTTCTATCCCCACCAGAGTTTTCACACAATTTGCCCCCCAGCTGGATGCAGCCATTTGACAGGGGCTATCAAAATGTCATCAGCACCCAATTGTCCCTGCAAATGAAGCAGTGCCCAGGTCTGGTGGTTTTGCTCAGTCCAATCTTTTTAGTGGTGGGGGATGGGACCAAAAAAAACCACAAAGACAGCTCCTGTGAGAAAGTCCTGGAAGCTTTCTCCATCATGTCCAGCAAAGGAGCAGAACTTACAGGGTAATTAATCCTGGTGATGTCCAAGAGCTTCTGCTTGGCTTTGCGCTCGGCCTCACGGGCCTCGTGCAGGTCTTGCTTCAGGTGCTCTGCCTCCTTGGCTCTGCAAGAGAAATATCCCGAATGGCTGATGATTTCCAACCAACACATGGATTTCAGAGCTCACTGAACTCCAGAGAACACATCCCCTGCTGTGCCATCTTTACCCCAAGGCACTCGTGGTAGGATGCTCACATGGAGAACTGACTGCCTGAATGAACACGGTTTTTCCTATTCCTAATTTCCACAGATTCCTCATTTCCATGATATAAATTTTATTTATAACCTGCTGATACAGATTCTCTCCAGGCCAGCAGAGATGGGGGAGAAGTTGCTCTTTATTTTGTCAGTATCCTAAAACAAGTAGAAGGATTGTTATTAGTAACAGGGTTAAAAATCCTCTGTCAACACTGGCCTGGCTCTGCATCCTCAGGGAAAATGCAAACACTCAGAGGGGTTTATATTCCATCAAAGTTTACCTGGTTTTACACTTTTGGAAGATCTGAAAGGGAAATAAGATCATGCACTTGGTACTGAGCAATGAAAGCAGTTGCCTCATATATAGTTAGGGAGATAGATCATTTGATATTAAATAAAAAATATCTCATTTGGATGAAAACAGCCTTACATCTCACAGGGGATAAAGACTGGTGAATTTGGATAGTTAGGGAGACAGTGATGATTTGGTAACAAATAAAAAAGTCTCATTTGATATCAAAGAAAATTTCTCTGCATTCTGGATCCTTCTTTCTAAACATCTCCACAGCTCTGCCCCTGATCTCTGTAAAATTCACAGCCCCCAGCTCCAGGTGGAACAAACAAGGCACAAGGAGGCTCAGCCACTCTGAAGTGTCACTTCAGGGACAACCATCCCCTCCTGGAATTTTAATTTCAAATTCCACTTTAATTAATAATTGGCTCTGAGGGAAGCAGCACTTTCTGCAGGGAAGCAAAGCCAACCTCCTGTCGGACTCCTTGACCAGCTTCACCGCGATCAGCTCCGCCTCCCTCATCTTCTGCTCCATCAGCCTTTTCTCCTCTTTGCTTTTCAGGGCTGTGATCTCCAGCCTCTGGCGCTCCTGCTCAGCTTCTGCAGCATTCTGGGCCAGCAGCTTGGCCTCTTCTTCTGCAATCTGGGCTTTCTCAGCCAGCAGCTCGGCTGCCTCCTGGGATCGGAGCTGAGGAGAAAGAACTTTCCTTAGTTCCTTGTCTAGAACCTACAGTTTTGTAGGAAGAAGATATCCTTTACCAAGAGATCAAGTGATAAAATATTATTTCTTAAACAAAAAAACAACACAGTTTCAGGGTTAATGCTCCTCCTCTGCTCCAGAATCTCCTGTGTCTCACTTCTACAAAGCAAGGAGAAAAATCTTCAAGAGCTGGACAAAGATTTCAATCAAAAATTGAAGCTTCAGCTGCCTCTTTCTCCCAGTTTCAGCTCCAAAGTTATTTCCTTTCTCCCTTTCTTAAACCAAAAAAAGTGGGAATGGCTCACAGACTGTGGCAGATTAGGGTTTTCCCAGATATTCTTCTCACCAGTGATGAGAAACTCTCCAGCCTTGTCTGAGCTACAATGCCTGGTGTGTCCTGGTGTCAAAAAAAAATCTGTTTTCAAATCAAAAGAGCCCATCAAGCACAGGAATACTCAGCCTAACTCACCAGAGCCTCGTTGGCCTGCCTGGCTTCATCTTCCAGCTGGAAAAGGCGCCTTTCCAGCTCTTCCTTGGCTCTCTCGGCTTCTTCTCGGAGCTGCTTCTCCCTGGCCAGCCTCTGATTCTCCATCTGGGAGCAGGATGAGAGATATTTTGTGGGATTGCCGCAAAATTTCATCTGGGCCTGAGTGAAATTATCACATGAGGAAGGGGCTGCTCTGCAGTGAGGATGGTCATGAGGTGCTGAAGCTGCCTGCACTGAAGGAATTCTGCTTCCTCAAAAAGGAAATAATTCCTGGTGGTTTCAGGCTGCTGGAAGAACCCTTGGATTGACCCTTTGTGTGCCCCAAACCTTTGGGATCACCTCTCCACAGCCCTGAGCTGCTCCCACACCCAATCCTGCCGYGTTTCCTCACCTCCCACACACCTAYTSATGGAATATGGGAGCAGCAAAGGCACCAGCTGGAATAATAATCAGTTTAAAACAATACAGGAGCAGAAATAATTTAAATTAATAATAATCTTTTACCTTTTTCCTGGCTTTTTCTTCCCTGGCCTGTGCTTTCATTTGCTGGATCTCTATGGAGTCCACTTTTCTCCTCCTCATAAATAGGTC